TTATCCTGGACACTGATTAGAAGCTGAGGTCCAAGCTTATACTCAACCATGGAAACGTATGGGGTGACTCTGCCACCGTGATTGTCATTGCTCTATGCCAAAATGTGGCTGGCCTGTTTGGGGTCTACATGTTGTAGCAACTCAGCCATTGTTTCTAAACCATGGTTCATGTCTTAGTGTATTGTGTGAAGCCATCAAATTTCAGTTGGGGAACCCAACCATTACAATTCAACCCAGTGTATTCCAAAGCATGGGGGAGAGGTAATATTTTAGAAAGGAACATGGTATACTTTGAAAGTGCACATTGATTATGAAAAAATATGAGAGAAACCAGCAATTGTTGATTGTTTCAGTATAAGTATGTGTGTATCTCAGCAGTTAAAGACACCCTAAAACTTTGAAATAGCAAAGAGCGATACACATTTTCCTAGGTGAGCATCTGTGACTCTGACCATGTTTTTTTTCTCTATGCATTCCCCCACCACCACCACATTCCCTTTTTGGTTAAGGTTTCTATTTCACAAGATATTAAGTATAAGAAGGCTGTTTCCAATGGACCATTGACTAGATCAAATTAATATCTTTGTTTGAAGAACTCCACAGTTATTGTCTGAGATTATAAACCTGCTTTCTCATATGCTGGCCTTTAAATGTGCTTTTGGGACAATGACTCCCATTATCTCCAAACAAGAGGCGTCACAAAGACTGGCAAGGATGGGAATTGTAGATCCAACATATCTGGAGAGTACAAATGAGGGAATCTTAAATATATTGGGGAACCAGATGAAAAAGAGATCCTAATCCATCATTCTTCTTTCTTAATCCTTGCAACAAAGACAGGTTTCCCACAAAAACCTCTGAATTCTGTTTTCCAAATGCAAAAAAAAAAAAATCATTCCCTGAATAAAATTTGGTTATTGCAAAGCATTTCAGAATAGCTACTACTATTCCAACTTTTGGAGAAAGGTCATTCCAATATATTGCCTTGAAATTTCTTGAAATATTACTCTTTGTCCAAAGCATTTTTAAAAAGGAGTAATTAAATGGTGTGTATTTCACATTGGGATTTGAACAAAGGAAAGAGGAGGGAAGCCACAAGACAAGCAATTGTCCTGACTTATGACAATACTCACTGACTAGTCATTAAAACATGTATTTACTCATTTAGAAAGATTAACATTCAGTGTAACATTTAATTACTCATACATAAAGATCCACATTTAGTCTGAGCAAAATAATAATACAAAAATAAATTCAGAGAAATCAAGCACTCCTAAGGGGATCTGGAACATGTACTATATCTGATCTGCTTTCTTTTGACTATGCTTTTTGTTGTTAGGTCCATATAGTTCCTGAAAACATTTGCTAAAATAAGTCAACCTCTTGTAAAAAAGCACATCTAACTCAAGTGGGAATTGAGTCCTATCGGTACTAATAGTTGCAGTTGTTAATTTATCTTTATTAATAAAAAAACCTGAAAAGTTTTCTATTTCAAGTTCCAAATATTATTTATAGCCTAGGTTCTTCCATGATGCTAAAGCTGAAGAAAAACCAATCACAATATGGTTTACCATGTTATTGAAGCCTATCCATAAACCATTTCCAAGTCAAGAGTTCCAGAATTTCACAGCATAATTTAGTTATTGTTGTAGAGACATATTTGGATGAAGGCAAGCTTTTTATCACTATAGTGATAAGTGGATGACAAAATTTTATACATCCACTAAGGTTAGTGTCAGTAATCAAATATTGCATACAATTGGTTTCTATTGCTTCTGGCTTATGATCTGCACAGTTGAAGAAAACCAGTGAGTAGGTCTGAATCTGGAGACCAATGTTTGTCTCCAGATGGAATAGCACAGGAATTCACTAAAAAGGAACTTTCTTTTCCAGAATATACTCCATTTAAAAGCTTCATTAGATGAGATGGATGTTATGCAATTTGGCAATACATTCTCATTAAATCTGATAGTTTTAAGATCAGGTTTGTACATGAGAATTAGGGATCGTAAATATCTAGTACCTCATGAGATGGCTGAACAAGAAACAGTTTTCAAAATTAGGCAGAAGTAGGAAATAAAAACTATTACTACCCTATAATGATTGATTAATGTTATATCTAAAAGCTCTTGTGTGTTCTCTGTTAAACCCCTGTTTTCTAACAGGCTGTCCTTTTATAGAGTTATGTAAAAGGCTTTTCTGAAATAATTTAACTTTTTTTAAGAATAATTGGCTATTGACAAATATTATCACACATTTTTAAAAAAGGAAAAAAACTTTAGTTTCACAGTTTAAAGTTAAATTTCCCTTCGTGGCAGAAGGCAAAGAATAATGCAGTTCATGACAAGGAGAATAACAATCCATCAAGAGACCTCTAGTGGTAGGTTGCAGAATCACTCAATAGTGTGGGCAAGTGTACACAAACACATCCCCACACAAACGAACAGATCCTAGCCTCAAATTTAATTCCTCAATTCTTTTAGTTTTTTTAAAAGAAGTCAGATACTACAGGGAATCTCAGATGTCCTAATCCTGGGAAATTGGAGATTTCTTCAATAATTCACATGCAATAAGATAGAAAGGGAAATAATTATTTTATACATCTACTGTTAACTACTTCCTTTTTTTATAGAATCCTTAACAAGCACATTCTATTTTACCTCAGTTTTAGTGATTATAAACTGCAAATGTTTTCATTTTTCCCCACTGCCATTTTTTTTAGCTGCATTGCAACCATAAATTTGCCCCAAAGTAACTTACATCCGGGTGCACCCTTTTTTTTAGCTCTTTGCATAGCGGGACAGGATGTGATTGTACTTGTCCAAGCTGCAGCGTAAAGGTGAGAAAAACAGAAATACATTATTTTTTTGTGTTGAAGATCAAGCAGCTGATATTAGAGGAAATAAATAGTTCCTACTCCGTTTGTAAAAATAAATCCCCATGTACGCCCAGCCTTTATACTATTCCTAGTTTATTCAGATCTTTTAAAAGGAGCTACACATAAAGACTGTCTATTTTTTCCAAGTTTTATTATGCTTTTTGTACACAGACAATATAAATGGGTGAAAAAACAAAACATTTTTCCTGGTTACTTGTAATTTGAAGAAACAATTATTTACCTACACAAACAAAACAAATGTGTAAGGGAGGTTTCTTTTTTTAAAAAAAGGAAAAAGAAAAATGTCCATCAGTTACAGAAGGACATAAATATATATATTTATATATATACAGGATGAAAGTCCTGAATTTCTATTAGGGAAAGTTCCTTTGCCGATTGCAAGTTAGCCTTAATCATTTTGCCTGCTGTCTATTTCACAGTTCATTTCTCGCCCCCACCCACCCACAATATTTAAATATGGGTTGATCAATTATATATTTCCTACACAAAATTTTGAAGACTCACTACTCTACATCAACAAGGGGAAAGACTAAATTGAGTGTAAAACTCTTGACTGAAAAAGAAAATTAAAAAGAAAAAGAAAAGGTCAGAGAGGGAGGAGGAAAATTATTTTTCTTCATACTGGTGCTGCCTATTCCCCAAAAAAGCTCTTTCAGAGATACTTCCTTATGCATAGAACAAAACGAAACAAAACAAAAATTCAAACTAAATGCATTTTTTTTTCTTTTTTTAAAATATACAACTCACAAAAGTCATTTTCACTGGACTACACTACGGGCACCAACAGATCAATAGCTTAGCATTGGTTGTAGTTTGTTCATTACAAAGATTTACAGTCGTCATTGAAACTGAAGCGGGGAGGGGGAGGAGAGAAAAATATTGGAACAAGAGAAGAGCACCTGCACACCAACCAGGGATGGGCTTAGGAATCAGTGAGGGGACAGAAAAGGGCATAAGGAGAAAAGATGGGCAATGTGAAATGCTTGTTGTAGGAGCTGCTCCACTCTCTCTGGCCACCTGTCTCTAATAGAGTGTTAAACTGTGATGCTTAGTTGATAAAAGAGTCAATGGCCCTGTGGGCAAATCCCCTTCCCATACACCCACTTGCACACCTGATTGAACACAGCCTACACTCTAATTGAAATAGCGCCTCCGTGACCCAGAGTAAGGTTCACCTGAGTTACTCTGCAAGACAGCCCATCCCATCTGGAGTAATCCTACTGGAACTTGAGTCATAACTCTCTAGCCCTGTAAATTAAACTACTGTATGTCAGTTTTAGTTTAAGTCAACTAGCAGCGCAAACACAGGTAGGTTTACTTGGAAGGAAGGGCCTTTTTGATCAGAATTGAAATAGTTCCTTAGAATGGTGCCAATCTAACATAGCCTGCTAGGGCTGGGCTGGTAGGTTCACACAACATGCCAAGCCAGCAAGTCACAGACTTACTTGTAGCTGGGTGTATTGAATGAACTATGCAATGCTTCATAGGTAAATTGTCACTAAAACCAAACGACAGCCTAACGCAGCCTGTTATGCGAACCAAGGCAGCCCAGGTTTCACCATAACAACAGACTTAAATTTTGTTTTTGAACTTTTAAAAGTGCTTTATTTAGAATTCATATCTCCCATCTCTTTGTTAAGTTGCTGCATCCACTTCAGTAAAGTTTGATCCCAAGCACAGGTACCTGGAGAGACCACCTGCTTATCCCTAGTACTCCTACGACTACACTTGTTAGTATGAGTAAATTAAGGGNATGTTCGGAATGTATCACAACACTCTTACTAGACAGTCGGATAAAACGTTTAACCCAGGTAACATTGTAGAATCTGGACCGACAGCTGTGGATGATTTGCAATGAAAAGGAAGGTTCTCTGAATCTCAGGGTTTTTGTTTTTTTGTTTTTTGTTTTTTACAATGGCAGCAATATGGTTAATTTAATTTAACGCTCTTTTTCATATTTTCAATACAGGCTAAACTACAAATGAACTACAGAAGATTGGTCCCCCCTATAATACTAGGATGAAATATGGTTGACTAGTTTGCTATTCAGTAGGTCGAATAAACACAAAGATTTCTCCCATCCCTTGGCTAATTATATGGTTCAAATGAAACAAAGTCTTGGTGAACTAAGACTAATCTTTCCTATGTCCAGTAAAGACCCATAATATAGCCCCACAAACTTGTAGTTGGCTCGTTGGCGATTTAGAGTCTAACACAATGGTAATCAAAGTCAGAGTTTAGATAGAATTTGTTAGTGTGGGCTGCTATACCTGTTTCCTGGAAATTAATTTAACTGAGCCCCGAGCCCCTGATATATATTTTTTTAATTTCTTTTGCTGATGCATAAGGCATTCTCAGGGCCTACAGTAGAGAGGCAAAAGGTGCCCTGCACAAACCAAGGCTCAAATATCCTGGATCCAGCCAAGTTATTTTGCCACCCCTCTCGCCTTCTGCGATAGTCAAAAGCTGTAGTCATGCATTAAACAACGACCAATCTGCTGCCCTTCAAAGGCACGCCAAAGCTGCTCTTGAGACCGTGGCCTCACCCTAGGGCCGGCTTTACCTTAGGCCGCAAAAGTAAACAGTTCCAAGCCAATCTGACAGGGAAAAAGAGAAGTAACTTTGCTCAGGAAGGACGAAGGGGCCAAAACCAGTCTATAGAGAGGTTCACGCTTTCAAAGGTTAAAGCGATCTGAAATATTTATTGCTCTTGGAGAATCTGAGAGGCTTCTCGCCCCCCCCCCTTTTTTTTTCTTACAATTGAGGCTGGGGAAAATCGAGACTCGAAAACAGGTTTGAATAATTTCGCAAACAGTTTAGACCATTAATCCAATCCCATCACTTTGTGGTCTGAAACAACCATTTCCTTTCCTCACACAGTTCGGGGAGTCTCACCTCCACCCTCCCGGCCTCCGTAGCTGCACTTGTGCTCCCCCCCCCAAAAAAAAAAAATCCCGAAAAGGCTCAGGACCGAGCGAGCGAGAAAAACACTTTACATCGGTGTTCTGGTAGGCAGTGACGGCGATGAACTGCGTCTCCGGGAAAGTGAAGGTCTGAACCCGACCGGGCTGACTGGTGTCTTCGGTGCCGTCTTCGTTCACCTCCACCACGTGCAGGCGAGGCTGATATTTGTGGAGGGACTGCAGGACCACCATCTGGAGACGGAGAAAAAGTGGTAATGGGGAGCGAGGAGAAAGTCGGAGCCCTTTAATTATTTATTTTTACTTTGTATGGGAGGTGGGGATGAACTTTATATTCCAGACCCGCTCCCAGGTCTCCCCGAGAAACCGGACCGCCACACCAATCTTGCTTTCTACAAATAGGCTCTTCTTGATCCCTCCCCAGTTTCGAGGTTCAAAGGAGGGTCGCCGCCGGACTTCGCCATCTGTTCCAAAAACTGCACCTCGCTTCCACCACCCCCATCCCCCAAGTTACTAGAAAGCTGAAAGTAAGAACGGGAGGGAAAAGAAAAGCGCCCGGGCACGCCCGACTATTCCTCCGATCCGGACTCCTTTCTCCCCCGCGCTCTCCCACCCCCCTTTAATTGAAAGGTGGGGAGAAAAGCCGCCGAGGTCGCTTTAGGAGCTTTCAACCGCCTCGATTCCGAAGCCTTCGCCTGGGATCGCCTGGGAGAAGACGGTCTCCTGCTCACATGCTGGTGCTAGCGCAGCTCCTTCGCGTAACCTGTCTATTGAATTAGCCTCTCCCCCCACCAGGTTTGTACAATAGGGGATGGGTTTGCAAGAACAGACGCAAATGAAATGAATGTGGAGCGCAGGATGGGATGCCCGCGCATGCAATCTCTTGGTCCTGCAGGGCGCAAGGCCGCCTCTCCCGAGCCCCAAAACTGACCTGCCCATTGTTGTTGGACGCCCCTTTATTGTTGGTCAATTTCAGTTTCCCGAAGGAGATTTCCTGGCGCATCCAATGGGCTCCTGTGTTGGGCGAGTCCGGGTGCATGTAGACACGGTTTCCTGAAGACGAGAACCCCCCACCCCGGGTTTGTCAAAGAGCAAACAAATGTTGGAGACAAAGACATTCACACAGTGAATCTTCCCTTCCTTCTCTTTCACCCCACTCCAACCTTCCTTAGATGATTCCTACAATTTCCCCAGACCTCCCAGCTTCAAAAAGACAAATTTGCTCCTTCGTTTTATTTACTATATATACTGTGTTATGTGGTATTTAAACTCGGGAAACCGAAGAAACAAAGCGGGAATAGGGGTAAAGCCAGGGGAAGACCTTCAGTTTTAGCCTCCCCCCGGCTAAGTTTTGTTTAGTCTTACCGGCCCAAGAAGGTCCACTAATGATGTCTTCTCACCTAAGCCACCCGAGCCCGGGATGCAAGTCTTTGCGCGCGCCCGCGTACGAGGGAAAAGGGGAACCGAGAGAAGGACTTGCCTTGCACGTTGGTGTCCGCTTTGCCACAAGGCACCCACTTGCCGCCTTGGAACCGCCAGTGGTTTGGGTCAGCCAGGATGACATCCACAAAAATATTGTAGTGAGCCGTGGGATCCAGACCCGAAATATTAAAACTTAAGAAAGGGAACATTCGCCTGTTTTAAGAAAGAAGGCAGGAGAGGAAGGTGAGGAAAAGTGACGGGATTGAAAAGGAGGGAGATCATAATTTTATAAATACATAAACTGCCCCCTAAAATTCTCAAAAACCTTTTCTTGAGCGAATGTTGAAGAGAAAAGTACCCAAAGGGTACCCCGATTTTAGGCATCTCGCTCCGCGCCTTTTGCCTAGCGGATCGAGACTAGGAGAAAACGGTGCTCTGCGTACTCATCTCCAAGTGAATCCGGCTGAAATCGAGGGTTATTTCCGAGGAAACCGGGCTGGCGGGTTGGCACATCGGCTTGTAACCCAAAAAAGATCCTCGCGGGTTTCTACTGTAAATTTGCTCGGAAGTAAGTCCCAGCGATTTTATTGCCTTTTGCCTTCAACTGATGGACTGTCAAATTTCAACGCGCAAAAAAAAAAAAAAACACCCCAACAACCGAGAAGTGATGGACTTTAACCACCATTCGGGGGTCAGCAAAGGAAGCGAGGCGAAGCTCTTGATCGCCAGAAAGTGCGGCAGAAATGGCCCAAGGTGCACCGAAGACCCCGAGGCCCGATCCCAAAAGGAATTGCCAAAGCAATCATTCTTCATCTTGTTTATGACTCTTAAACAAGTCAGAGCGAGGAAGGAAAATATGGTAAAAAAATTGGGGGGGGGGGGGAGAGAAGCTCATAGGCCCAAATATGTATTTAATATATATATTTAAAACTAAGAACTGGATTATTCCAGCCCCAAAGACAATATTGCCATTGTTTTTAATCTTAAAAACCTGAAGCAAAAAAGGAAAGGAAATGGGGAAAGGAAAAAGGAAAGGAAAAGAACACGAGAGGTCTACAGCCAAAGGAGAAGGAGAAAGGATAATGACGACAATAGCAATAATAATAAGAGTTGATGAAGATGCAGATGAAGATGATAATACAAGAGGTACGGGACAAGAAAATGGGGGGTGGTGGCAAATAATAATAATACTTTGCACAGAGCCCGGAGTCTCGGCAGGAGAGCCGGCTTTTCCCCCGGCCAGGCACCCGGGCTCGGGTTCGGAGGGTGCTCTTGCTCGCCCTTTCCCGGTCCCTCAGCCTCCCTCGTCCTCCTCCGCTTTCTTTTCGGTGGCGTTGCGCCTGGCTGGCATCCTTCGACCGCAGCCGCCGCTTACCTGCCTTGCTTGGTAATGATCATCTCGGTTTGGTGTCGGTGGAACTTCAGCCAGAGCGGCCTGTTGCATAGGTAGACCTGCGCCTTGCCGGGGACGAGGCCAGCCTGGGCAGAGGGGAACTGATAGAACGGCGAGCCTTGGTAGGAATGGCCGTACTGCTGCGGGTAAGGGTAGCCGGCAGCCGGGTAGCCTTGAGGCGCCGCGGAGTTGGAAAGCAGGCTGTTGTATGCTCCGTTGGCGATGACCGGGTGGTGCGCCATGTAGCGGCTGGGGCTGGCGAGCGAGAAGGCGGCCGCGTGGTTGTGCTGACCCGGGTAGGGGAACATGGTAGCGGCGGCGGCGGCCGGAGGAGCCGAGGCAGTAGCCGGAGGCTGGCCGGAGGAAGCTGGCGTGGAGAGCAGGTATCGATCCGCCGCGGCTGCGGCCGCCGCCGCTGCTGCTGCTGCTGCCGCTGCCGCAGCCGCCGCCGCTCCATCGAAGGTTGGACGGAGCTGCTCCTGGCCGCCGCCGCCGTCCAAGACGACAGGCGAGAGTTTGGCGCGCTGCTGTTGCTGCTGCTGCTGCTGCTGCTGAGGCGGCGGCGGCGGCGGCGGCTGGGCGTCCCCTGGCGGGTCTTTGGAGTCAGGGAAATTGTCTGCCTCGGCCTGATTCGTCATCCCCCCCCTGGCGAGTTTTTTCAGAGGTGAACTTCTCTCCAGGTTGTCAGCGCTCGCCGAAAGGAGGGCGGCGGCGGCGGCGGCAGCCGGATGGTGATGGGGGTGCGGGTGGAGGTGCTCGTGCAAGACAAGCTCGGATCCGCCCGCGGCAGGCGGGTAAGCGCCGCCGCCGCCGCCGCCAGCGCTCACATGGAGAAATTTCTTGGAGAGCATCATCGACGGAGGCGACAGACAATGCTCCAGCTGCATGGCTCCAGACCCGGCCCGTTTTTTGGCCAAAGCCTGCCCGGGATAGCGTAACGGTAGCACGGGGTCGCTTGGGGGGGGGCGGGGGGCGGGAATCGCTTAAGGCCCCCAGCTCATCATCCCGGGACCCTCGGCAGCGAGGGACCCAAAGCAGCTTCTCCCACCACCCAAGGCTGGTCCCGAACTGAAGCCACAATTCCCTCCCCCACCCCCTCCGCCGCCACCAAAAGCACCGCTCCCTGGGAGAAGAGATTGGCCAATTGACACCGTGCAGCAATCAGCCAAGCCGCACTTTTGATCTCCCTGGTTGCCGAACGCATGAAACGGCTCCTGCCATTGGTTAACCGCTGACAGTAATTTAATTAGATAGACGTTAATTAGGATAATCACCTGGCTCCCGGTCGCGCGACGTTCGAGGCAAATGAATATATATATGTGTGTGTGTGCGTATAATACTTTTTACTGTATGTGTATATATATCTATACATACATACACGCACACGCACGCACACATATACAGCAAAATCGATATAAAATACTTTGTTTACAGTTATTTATTTTGTGTGAGAGAAAGAAATAAAGAGAGACCCTACGCAGCCCTCCACTATCCTCTGTGGCCACAGTGTAGAAAGTCTTGAGGGAGAGAATTTGGGGCACTGGCGTCCCGCCCCTCTCCTTTCGCGCCGGCCTTTCTGGCTACGCGACTCGGGGCTTTCAGGAGCCCCGAAACCAAGCCGCCACCCCTCTCTGGGCTTCCTAGCGTCGCGTTTTCCTTCGCCTCGCAGGCAGCTCCAAAAGCTCCCGCGGCGCTCAGAGGCGGTAGAGGAGAGGAGGCCCCACCTCTTCCTTAAGGCGAAGCGCTTGGACGGGCCGGCTTGTCCCAGAGTTTCCCCTGAGGTAACGGCCGGCAGATTGGCCGGCACGTTTCCCGCGCATTCTGGCCAAGAGCTGCCCGTTCCTGGCCCAAGCGGGAGCGCAAGCTCTTCCCCAATGCCCCGCTCGCCCCTGCCGGAAGGAATCGCCAGCCAGCCGCAGATAGCGAGTAACTGCGCCACTGCGTCTCTTCCCCCACCGCCATCCGCAAAACACCCCAAGTCTGATTCTCTCTTGCTTTGGAAAGGAGCGTCATCTGAAGCGCCTTGAGTGACTGACTTGCCTTGAGGTTGGCGCTTGGCTTCCTCGGTAAATAAATATTTTATTTGCGCGCAGACATGCGGGGTAAAGGAAGTGAGCAGGAGGGGGGGGGGGAAGAGACGCTCCGAGAAAAACAGGATAACAGACCAGCATCCAGTCAGAGCTCGAATTCCTCCCCCCCATCTCTTTTCCCCCCGTGGCCCTCTCCCTTCTTTCCTTTAGGCTTGTGTTCCTTCGGTGNGGGGGCTCATCTATTTATAGACGCCGAACTATTAAACGAAAGGTTTACTTTAATTGAGAATAAGGTCTGATCAGGCAGGAGAAGTTGTATCCAGAAAAGGGGAATTGAAGCGTTATTCTCCTCGTGGGAAGCGAAATCCTACTGAGAGAAGTAGGAGTAATTTCCGCCATTACATATCGCTTTGCGAAGGGCAACGATTCTACGATCGCACAAACTCGGAGACGACTTCCTTCCAAGGAAACGCGAGTGGAACCAGCTGCGAAGAAGCAGCTCGCGCCGTTTTCCTGACTGGCGATTTCTAGTGTCATCGCATTATCGCGGTTGTCATTTATCTGGAGGGTAGGAAGATTGGCTTCGCATCGCCAGAGCGATGGTGCACTGGTGACACTGTCGAACAACAGTAAGAAAACGGCGTAATACCTCCTTTCCAGCTGTTTTCGAGATAATATTACTTGGAATCAATTGAATGGGATATGCTGCTGAATAAGTGCCTATAGAAGTATGTGCAATTTAAAGCCCATCGTGGGAATTCGGCACGCTCCTATGGATTCCTCTTGATCCTAATCCGAGTAAACATGTTTAAGGCTGCGTTTTAAACTTGATTGGGTCACGTCCCAACTGAAGCACTTGCTCTACGTGTGAAACGAAGCCAGTTTGTTTTAATCATGGTTTGTCAGATAAACCACAATTGGCTGGATGTCTAGTAGAAGCATACACCATTACGCTAAGCATTTACTATTGTAGCTTTAGTGCAATGTGTGAACAAAAACTACTGCATTTCTTCCTCAAAATGCTTTCGATCAGTTCAAGTTTCGCACATATTCCCAATCAAGACACCTAACCAAAAAGGAGCTTATTACTTGAAAGGAAACTTTATTAAAAATGCAAGGCAACTAACACGAAGCTTGTTAAATTTCTATTCCAACACCAGAAAGCCAAATATTGCCTTCTAAAATCAACATAAATCCTATCCTACGGAATCCACGGTTGAAATTAGTGTTGATTAAATCAGAAATTATTTCGGTGAGCAGCACAGTAAGGTCCGGCATGCATGTAAGTAAAATTAAGCCCTACAGAGGTGTAATTATTTAGATGTTAACTGTTAGATATTTGAATCCATTCGGACAATTTTGTTTATCAGGCTTAGCTTTGTTGAAATGGTTATAAGTTTATTTTATTTTTTTTGTTTAATCAAGTTTAAGTCACTTTGGACAATGATATAAAAATACTGACACACTTCCTAACCACACACCCGACTTTGTCCTAATATTAATATGCAAGTGTGTGGATGAAGATTAATGAGAAAAAAAGGGAGTTTTAGATATTTTAGGCTTTGATTAGGGCAGCCAATCCTACTATAAGACTCCTTGCTCGTTATCTGCGAACTGTACATATACATTTCCACTGTATTATCCCGGAATACAGAAGGGGAAAGGGAAAAGAAGAATATCCCTTCGAGTTTCAAGCATAGGATGCAAGGACGGAAAAACGGTTAGTTTGCCTGTTGAACCTTAAACCAAGTTTACTCGGAATTACGACCCATTAAGTCCAAGCAGGGGAACGGTTGTGTTCTAATCTAAATGAACAGAGAACTGGAGATGTGGAGGAGAGGGATCTAGGAGAATCCCAAATTTTCTAAGAAACCCTTTAAAGGCACGCACAATCTTGCCCACCTTTTTAGTGCGGCAGAATAAAAAGCACCTGCTATCCACCTTCCTGATCAAAGAATGTGCAGGATCCTAAGGAGAGCTGCAAGCTCTTCGCCGTAATCGGACGGTAAAAGCTATTAAACGCCGCGGGGCTAATTTCAAATGAATGCGTGCATGTGACTGAGCTGCAACTCGCTGGATGGAACGTAATTCACTCCCGTGTGTTATCGGATGAAGTTTAGGGTAGCTTTAAAAAGATCTGAAATGCGCGGGTCGCCCGCTAGCAAACGTTTAAGAGGAACACACACACACACCCTTTACCACATCGAACGTGGGATGGGCATAGGGATAATTAAAGGGTTTTCTTAGGATTTGGGAATAATCTACCTATTAGAAACACACGAGACTGAGATCTGGTTTTAAAAAGAATAAAAAGACTGCTTGGGCCAAGGGAAAAATCACGACACGATTTGTTGTGTGCGAGGATGGGGGGGGGGGTTGTCCGCTAAGGAAAGAGACATACAAGGTGGATAATGAAGCGTCATGATTTTCACCATTTCTTTGCCATCCACCTCCTACTGAAGAGACATTGGGACGGCCTCACGGTTTGAGGGCTTTCTGCGTGTGCGACGAGAGGGGGCGGGGGGGGGAGAGAGAGAGAGAGACTGCGCGTGCGCGGTTGCAGGTGCGTGGCCAGCCAGAGCCGCTTTCAAGTGACCGTGAGAACCAGCGCGCGGCCCGGGGCGCAGCGCAAAGCGCCGGCTGCTTCGGACGGGACTGGCGAGAAGGGCGGGAGGGGGCGTGGCCAGAGGCCTCTCCTCTCTAGCTGTGCGAGTAGAAGCCGTAGTAGCCGATGTCCTTGGCGCAGGTCTTGTCGCAGTCCCTGGGGGCCAAGGCGGGCTCGCTCTTGAGGGGCGAAGAGCTCTCGGAGGCCGGGGTGCCCACCGGAGAAAGCCGCCGGCGCTTGGCCTGCTCGTAAATCCCAGAGTCGGTGGAATCGATGGACTTGATGGACGAGGGAGTCTCGATCCAGCTGGAGTCGGACAAGTCCTTCGGGGGCTTGGAGTCCTCGGCGGGCGGCCCGGCGGCGGGCGGCGGCGGGGGTGCCACCAAAGGGGAGCGCTCGGGGGGCGCCAGGCTGTCGGGTTCCTCCCCGCCGCCAGCCCCGGCGGGCAAATAAGGGTTTCCTCCAGCGCGGGCCCCGCTGCTGTTGGGCCAGCACGACAAGGATTTGGCGCAATACTGGGGCGGGCTGCGCGCCCCCCAGCCCGAGGGGTCCGGGTAGTAGCCGAGCGGGCGAGCGGTACAGCCGGCCGCCTGCAGCGGAAGCGCCTTGACGCCGGCAGCGGCGTAGGATAACAGTGTGGCGGCGTTTCCCGCCAAATCTCCGGCGGGGTCGTAGGCTGAGGCGGCCGCGAAGTCCAGCCTATTGTTGGCGGGCGTGACGAACCAGCGCTGAGGCGAAGGCGCGGCGGGCTCTTCGGCTTGCTGGGGAGACAGCAGCCCGTTAGGGTGAGGGACGCCTCGATCCGGGACGGGCCCGCCGGGTCCCACGCCGCCTCCGGCGCCCGCTCCCGGGTGGTGGTGGTGGTGGAAGCCACGGGACTTGGCGTAGTTGCTGACGAACTGGTCCTGCAGAAAGGAGCCCGCCGCGGCCGCCGCCATCGCGTAACGAGCCCCTGGCACGATCTGAGAGCGGGGAGAGTCATTGGGCGACGGAGTCAAGCGGTCCATGTCGCAGCCCGTGTAGATCCTGAGTGGGCAGCAGGGAAACAAAGCAGAAAGGAAAGGGGGTGACTGGGGAGGGATTGGAGAGGTGGGGGTGCAAGAGCCCCCCCAATTTTCCTCCAGCCCAAAACAGCGCTTGCGTCCAAACCACTGAAGGATCGTGGCTCTTAACATCTGTCTGACCTGGTAATTCAGCCTGCGAGTGAAACCTTAAACTGTCTACCGTGGGCCTCACCCCATTCCTAAGAAATCAGTAGAGGCGTGCATAAGTGCACCAGCCTCCTAAGGTCCCTGTCCTAATGTCCCCATTTATTTATACCTATTTCCTGTGTTCTTATTCATGTTTATTCTTATTCCTGTTATCTTGTACATGAGTGACAAATTAAATACATACATACATACATACATACATACATACATACATTAAAAAGTTGGACTACAGTCCCCCCCCCCCTTGCCCAAAAGTGGCAGAGGTGGCGCTACATTGGGGAAAGCTTGAGGCCTTATTTCACTAATCCACTTAATTTATTCTGAGGGTGCCTCTGAACCCAGTGCAAAGTAGCCGAACCTCCACTGTTAGAGCACCATCTCGCCCTTAAACTAAAGGGCAAGATAGCCCAATCCCATTGATGATAAATAGCGCATCTCTATCGCAATGTATTGCCTCGGTGACTGCTGGGTGGAGCTGCTAGTCTCTAGACTGGAATTACACCGAGGTCTGCATCCCAGTGACTGAAGAAGTCTTTTAGGAAAGCTAAATTTAAAAGGTATTGCTCCCCTCTTACAATTCCTGCCTTCTTAGACCAGGGATGTTATTTTGTCTTTCTCACTGCAGGCATCGCAACTCAAGCCACGCCACCCCTCTGCTGCATAAGAACTAAGTGAGGCACAGAGTGGGTGCCCAGGTCTCTCCAAACTGCCAAAATCAGGGTAAGATTTTGATGGACAGAGGTTTCTCCAATCTCTGCACAAACTTCTCCAGGTGTAGGCCCAGCGGAAGGGAATACAACAGACTGCAGACCCAGGATAAAAAGCCCTCCAGAGGTCAATGAGGATGGCCAATAAGGGAGATTGGGTTACCTAAGGGCATGCTTGGAATCCCAAAAGCTTGAGATTCTGGATTGCCTAGAAATCAACATGCTTGTAGAAATTAAGACCAGAGACCAAGCCGAGGACAGAAGCACAAAAGACTACAATCCTAGACTACACATTTGATTTCTACTCTGAGGCGTATAAACCAGTCTGGCTGTTTCCCCCACACCTTTTTTTTAGATGAGTTGGGCCGAGAATAATAGAAATAGTAAACCAAATGCAACAAGGGGAGTTTACTCCAGAGATTCCAAAATTAATGGGATATTAATGAGGCTGGAGTCCTTAAAATGAGTGAAGAAAATAGAAACCCAATGAAACTAACTTTCTTTGGGGAGGGGAAAATTTGTTTAAAGTAGTGGAGGGCCACTCTGGGAGAGAATGGAAGAACCATGGAAATGGTGGATCTCCAGAATTAAAAATCAGAAGCAACTGATTAATATATGTGGTCACTAGAGTATATCTGGAAACCCTCCTGGATGCAGAGCTTTACATAAATTCTCTTATTCCAAAGGATTATAGCCTTGACATTGTGAATTTACTGTACTGCAAAGCTTCAAAATTGTAGAACTTGTTTCAGGTAACACTGCATTAGAACAGCTTTTCCCTGTATAACACACTTGGCAGTCAAATAGTTTTACTTTACTAGGAGTAAGCTGCATTTCTGCCCTGGATCTATTAAATAGGATGACCTCGCAAAAATAGGGATTTCCAGAACTTCCCACATAAGGCTACTTTTCCTAACCCATTTAATGAAACAGAGGCCACACATAACATGAAGCTCTGAGTTTCCAACAAGGTCTCCATCCTTGGAGATCCAGAAAAGAAGAAACTCACTACATCGCTTATTTGCACCCATGATCCAACAGAGGCCTAATCTGCTTGATAATGAACCAATATATGAAACAACGGATTGTGTTGGGTTGGTTATTACACATGTAGGAGTATGTTGCTTTAAAACGTGTTTTAAAAAACCCTTTTAAAGGGAGAGGGAAATCAGTCTGAAATTCTCCCTTGTTAGCTAAGTACTACTACAATCAATTCCGCAAAACTGCTATTGGATTTGAAACCAAGCTCCCTGCCTGTTCTCCCAGAATTTGACCTTTAGTGGGACAAGTACCACGGGCCCAGATAACTCCTGCTACAGAGCCATTTGGTAGGAAACGCAGTTGGGATAGTCTGGGCACATTTATCCTAAGGGATTTATTTTTATTTATTTTGGTTATTTCTCTCTTATTTTGAAAACTCAAGGTAACAAATATAGCTGAGACTCCTTTCTCCTATTTCCCCCCACAAACAGCTGTTGGGCTAAGAGAGAATAACTGGCCCAAAGTCACCCAGCTGACCACTCATGCTTAAAGTGGGACTAGAACTAGGTCTCCTGGTTTCCAGTTGGTGCCTTAACCACGACACCAAACTGGCTCTCTAGCTTTCCCTGGCAGCTTCCAGAGTGCCAGTAGCAGGGGAAGAGAACTAGCAAGACACTCTCACTCAAAATCCATGCCACCATCAGCTGTCTATCAAAGGAGTGGGGGTGGGGACAAATGGTTGCACCCTTTTCTTCTAGATTAATCAATCCAGATAAGCTACCTCACCTTTGGCTTCCTCCTCAGGATTGTGGCTTGTCTGATTTTGTTGTCATTGCCATGAATGGGGATAGAGTGAATTAAAATTAAATGGTGGGTTTTTAATGTTCTACGCAACTTAAGAGTCACTGTGTGTGAGTTGGGCAGCCATATAAATGTGTTTAATTAACGAACACATAAATGGCTGAAGAAAAAGCACTCAGTCCTGGCAGTAGCAGGAGAAACTTTATAACTTGCTTGGAGCAAGGTGGTTAATGAATCCTGCTGTAGTTTGGCATGGTTTAGTTTCACTAGCACTTCATTGATGCTTTTCAGTTTCTGGGTTTGGTGCCCACTCCCACATTGATTCTGGCCATCATGACCTTATGCCCTGGTGAGGTATCTGGTTGGTGAATCATTCCTGGAGATTGGAGAATTTCGGGACAGGAAAGCAAGATAGATGTACAATGTGACACCTTTTGGGAGCGTTCTCAACCTCCATTGTAACTTAATATATCTTGGGACATCTTTTTTGTCCCCTGATCTGCTCCCCAATCAACCACACTTTTATCTAAATGTATGCAACTTTTACTTCCATGAACAGCTGACTGGGAATTTTGGGAGTTCTAATCCAATTCACTTGTAGGGGCATCGGAATGCCTTTCAGCTGCCCTAGTTTTCTTTCCTTCAAGGCAAAACTTCAAAAGAACTGCCTTGCCTCCCTCTTCCCAAAGGCCTGTTTTCCTGAGGCCAGCTGCGCTTACTCTTATCTACCTTTTTCTTCAGACAAAGCCAAGGTGCTTGCCAGCCCCCATTGCTCCCTCTTAGCTGGGAATGCTAACCCTGACTTCAGTTATTTCGGAATAATCTGAGAAGATTGTGACAAACTTCAGGAGACATGCTGGACATCAGCATCCAGGTCACCTAGAAAGAAGTTTTTCCTTTCCTTCCTTGCAGCTCAGTTTGGAGCTTTACCCCCCTGCTAACCTCTGAGATGATTTACAGTAGAGAGTAATTTGCCTATTTGCAGTAGAGAGAAAAGACTAGACAGTCTCTTGGTGTTGGTGAATGACAAAGCTTCCTTGAGTGCCTTTTTCAGCGGAAAGGTGGACTACAAAGCAATACCAACAGGACTATTGCTTTTGCCACAACGACTCCGATTTTATCCTCATGCTAGGGGGGAGGGGGAGAGGAGGAATTGAGAGGAATAAACGACGAGTTTCATCTAAAGCTTAGCTTAAAATTGAATACAGGCTTCAGGACATCGGCAACACCTCCGCAGTGTTTGTAATTGGAGATAATCCGGGAGAAATCCAGCCAAACGACGGGGTACTGATTAGACAGAGACCCGCTGGAGGTAATAGAGTTCTTCGGGGCTGAGGAAGAACTCTAAGCATCTCGCGCCTGAATCCTAATTGCTTGTTTCCAAGGGCCTGATTTTCGGAGGAAGCTTACATATTATAGTCGGGACTGAATATTACCCCACTAGATAACGAGCTGCTTCTGGCGAGCCAGTGGGAAGTTCCTGCTGCTTATTACATTCAAAATATTCCCTTCACTTTCAACTGGGGGAGTATTCTGTCCGGTTCGAGTTCCAGCGGCAGTTCGAAAGCTCTCTCGGGAACCAAAAAAGCTTAAGCAGGGCAGCGGCAGGCGCTTGGGGGGTGGGATGCAAGTCCAATGCTAACTGAGAATGATTGGGGTCCGTGGAGCAAGCAAGGGAGCAACTATCTTCGTGCCCTGCTGCAATAAACCCATCCTTTGGGATTTACTGCCTTAGTTGCGCGTTAAACAACTACAAGTTTTACCCTGAAATATGGACTGTCTTTACGGAGAAAGACAGAATGCAAAGCTGAGAGCCACGGAACTCTCTCCCGTTGCAAAGCCTCCAAGAGTTTCCTACACGCCCGCCATTGTAGCCACTGTTCCTCTAGTTCACATGCTAAGCCTCTGCGCTCCCCCAGTGCATTTATCCTAATGATTTGCCCAATAGCACGTATAACCCGCTCTCGAACATCCCAGGGTCTTCTTTGGAGAAGTAAAACAAAAACAAAAAAAACCCACCCACCCGCCATCGATTTAACAGGGCTGGACGTGCCAGGGCCAATAAAAGGCTCAAGACAAGGAACTTACGTGTCGTAGTTGTCTCGGAAGCCTTTTGCGAAGGGGTTGTGATCGATCTTCAGCTGTGTGATCTACAGGGGAGAGGGGGGGGGAAATAGTCAGCGGTCTGCTGATTCTCTGTGTAAGATAAACAGATACCTAGCTTTTCTTCTTCTCCAAAGTGGATTAATTCTTTTTAATAAAACAACGCCGGTCATTTCCTGGTGAGAATTTCACTCATGAAGAGAAAAGGTCTGGAAATAGATGAAGGCTAAGTGGCCTCTTTCCCCAGCACGTGCGCCACGCAAGGATCAACGGGGGGGGGGGCGATCTGTGATCCAGAGCAGAGAAACTTCGCCTTCCAGTTGGCTTTTTGTTCTGCCTCTAGGCGGTTCCGAAACCGCCTTGGAAGGACCACAAAGTCGAGGTCAGGTTTAGGTACCTTTACGCCTCTTATTTCGAATTAAATTCCTCCTAATTAGATACGACTAAAAAGGTTAATTTCGGAATAATTCCGCCGAGGATAGCTATGAGAGGGATTAGCATTTTAGACACATGTTCGGAATGTATCACAACACTCTTACTAGACAGTCGGATAAAACGTTTAACCCAGGTAACATTGTAGAATCTGGACCGACAGCTGTGGATGATTTGCAATGAAAAGGAAGGTTCTCTGAATCTCAGGGTTTTTGTTTTTTGTTTTTTACAATGGCAGCAATATGGTTAATTTAATTTAACGCTCTTTTTCATATTTTCAATACAGGCTAAACTACAAATGAACTACAGAAGATTGGTCCCCCCTATAATACTAGGATGAAATAT